GGAAAGCTCCCCCTGTTTGAATCGTGCGCCCCGTTTAATGTCCACCACAATAAAAGTTTGCCAGCGCGTGGAATCGACCGTCAAGAATTGCCGTTCGACCAGCGACATCCGACGCGTGTATGTTTTACCGCACCACGCATGCATGCAGACATAGACAAGTAACCTGTAAACTAACTGTACAGCCGACTCGGCTAGTCTTAGATATGACAAAGAACGCCCAAATTACCGTCTATGGTCCGGTGGCGATTCGATGTTACGCATTAATTAGTCGACGGTAAAACAAGATACACGCCCCCCGACAACCCTGAGTTTCCCCCCTGCCCCCCTCCGCCTACCCCTCCCCTCCCCCTGTTTAGAATTTCACGGGAGAAACCTCTGAAAACAGACAGACGTTGGTGTCAGATGAGGTGACACTTCCGGCGGCTTTTAATCAAATGGAATATAGGTACACAGTCACCGCACGCACGCCACTGTGCACAAACTCACAGAAAGAATGGATTTCTTTTCTACATCTTTCTCTACCATCTTTGGTCTGAGTGTTCTATGCTTCTGTGACAATGTGCACAAGGGCGTGCGTTGCGGCGAGGCGAGACTGTGTTACAGAGGATGAATTGAACGGTATTTACTATTTACGTGGAATTATTGGTCGAATGAGAGCATGTCATTGTCAACATTAATACCGATAGCAAATACAATTTGTGTTTATATACCATCATTTTACTATTTATTCAAAATAGTTCAAGTGTGCGTGCTCTTGCGTAGCTGCGACTAGCAAGCAAGCAGCTATTGCTCTCATGGCAACGTGTACCCACTACGTTTATACATGATTCAACGATCGATCAATGATGTGGTATCGTTGTACATGTACATGTATTGTTGAAGTGAAGTGTGTGCACAATGCTTTTTGCGCATGTAGCAGCCATCGTTCGCTATGCTGGAGTGATACGCCGCTCACACGCACGCACACACACACACACACGCATGCAAGCACTCACGCGCGCGCACACACACATACGCAATCACCACACGATAGCACGCACGCACGCTAGCACACAACAGCGCACGCACGCACTGCCGCGCGCACAACATTACACACACACACACAGCACGCTCGCACGCACGCACACGCACCTGGCTGGGCTCATGTACACTCTAATGTAATTTTGCAATTCTGCCAAAAAAACCGGCGCGCCGGTCGTCTTCTGACCTTATTCTCACCTCAACCCTACCCCCCTGCAGTCCCCTCATGGGTCTTCACTGATGCTCATAGGTCTATGTCCCCAGGGTATACCGGAACCGTACGCTGGTAACTATCTGATATGCGTTTTCAGGGTTAATGTTCAGGCTTAGGGAGTTAGACGTAGGCCGACTCCCTAAGACTCGTATGTGGAGTTAGGCGATGTGGTACTGGCTCCGGCATATTAGATCGGTTACGTTCGGCCATACCCTGGGGGGACATAGACCCTCTCAGCCTCACTCATAGCCCCAGCATCGTGTGTGGTTGGTGTGTGGGTGGTTGGTATAGGGGCGCGGGGTGAACCCGTGGAAGCCACGCTGTAACTCGTTAACTCGTTTCCCCCGACAGGTGAACCCGTGGAAGCCACGCTGTAACTCGTTAACTCGTTGCTCGTTAACAGGTGCGCATCCGCTGCACAGGTGGACGCAGCTTCCGCTCGCGCCGCGAGCGATGGTGGTTCATCGCCGTCGCAAACTGCAACTCGACGCGCGGCCTCCACCTCGACTACAAGATCCTCATGACGAACGGGCCGCCGAGCGACAGGTGGCGCTACCACTTCTCCGCCGACGAGTTCTCCGTCCTGCAGACGGACATCGCGTTCTTCGTCTGCTCGTGCGCGCTCGTCGTCGTGACGATCGTCTTCGGCTTCGCGCTGCGCCAGCGCCAGCTGCTGCACACCACCTACCGCATGTTCATCGCCGTGCAGTGCCTCGACACGGGCGCGCTGCTCTTCGCCGTCGTCGCCAACGTGCGCTACATGGCGGACGGCGTCGGCGCGCCGGGCGCGCGCACGCTCGCGGACGTGCTCGCCGCCGCGGCGACGCTCGTCTTCCAGCTGCTGCTCATCCTGCTCGCGAAGGGCTTCACGGTGACGCGCGGGAGGCTGCGGCAGGCGAGCGCCGTCAAGATCGCCGTCTTCATGACGGTGTACGGCGTCGCGTACGCGTGCGTGTTCGTCACCGAGGCGGCGCTCTTCGACCCCGGACTCGTGCTGTACACGTACGAGAGCCTCGCCGGCTACGTGCTCGTCGCGATCCGCATCGTCGGCTGGCTGTGGTTCGTCTACGCGACCATCTTCACCGTCAAGCACTACCCGGAGAAGTGGCGCTTCTACCTGCTCTTCTTCGCCGTCTACTCGGCGTGGTTCCTCGCCGCGCCCGTCGTCGTCGTCGTCGCAAACTTCCGCATCGCAAAGTGGGTTCGCGCGAAGGTCGTCAACGGCATCGAGCGCGCGATCGGCTTCGCCGGCCGCGCGTTCTTCCTCGCGCTCACCTCGCCCGTCGCCGTCAACAAGGTGTTTTATTAATGTTGACAATGACATGCTCTCATTCGACCAATAATTCCACGTAAATAGTAAATACCGTTCAATTCATCCTCTGTAACACAGTCTCGCCGCACGCACGCCACTGTGCACATTGTCACAGAAAGATAGAACACTCAGACCAAAAGATGGTAGAGAAAGATGTAGAAAAGAAATCCATTCTTTCTGTGAGTTTGTGCACACTGCGACTGTGTATCGCAGAGGAGCAGCAGATAGAGCTGATAGAGAGTACATAATCTTTGTTAGTAAATAGAAGTTGTTTATTTACCATCATTCTATCAGGAGTAAGATAATATACCTATATACCTATACCTATACCTATATTATCTTACCCCTGATTCTATTACTATGTACAGCGGCCGAAGTGCCGATTGCAGCGAAGTTTATCGTCATCTATATTCCATTTGATTAAAAGCCGCCGGAAGTGTCACCTCCATCTGACCAACCACCGTCTGTCTGTTATATCTATCCATCAACACTCCATTGTTTTGAAAGAACTGAAAGAAAGTGGCATCTTTCTTCTCCTTGTGAGCTTCTTTTGAAGGACTTGTCTAGTGTGTTACCTTCCTTTATTTTTAATGACTTTCTCCTTGGAACCCTCATCCCTAAAACCTCCGTTCTAGTGATCTTCATGATACAATCAATACAATATGCCTTTCTACTGAGAACAGCCTAGTCTAGCTCTTCGTACGTGGGGCTATAAACTACTCATGAGACGCTACCTCTTCTGCCGGACATACTAGGCGTCATAGGCGATTAAATCGGGCGACTCAGTCAGGCGACTAAATCACGGTGAAAATCGCCTAGTGTGTCTGGACAGTCAGTCGCCGCCGATTTAGTCGCCCGATTTAGTCGCCCGATTTAATGGCATAGATCAAAACGTTTTGATATCATCAGGCGATTATTTCAGTCGCCCGATAAAATCGCCTAGTGTGTCCACTCGACTCGCGCGATAGAATCGGGCTATATTAAAATCGCCTAGTGTGTCCAGCCCTTTACGCTGCCATGCATTGTACACGCTTAACCCTTCTCCCTTAAAATCTTCATCACACCCCTGCTCCTCTGAAACCTCTCTCCATCTATTGTTCGTCCTCACTCTTCACACACTTAGTAATAACATAGCAATCAGGCCGAGGCAGCCACAGCCACGGAAACATTCCGGCGGGCTAGAAAAGACCTTCGCCAAGGTCAAAGGTCTTGCGACCTGACCTTTGACCTCGCCAAGGTCAAAGGTAGTGCGACGCGACCTTCGTGCCTGACCTCGTCGTGTCGTTACCTCCTTGCAGCAGGCATGGTAAGAACCAGAGCAAGACGTGCGAGGAGAGAGAGTCGATTCTCAAACGTGAGAACGGGCAGTTCATCAACCTGACGGCGCAGTACCACTACTCAGGATGCACGAACGTCGTGCAGGGAGACAAGGCAAGTGTCATATGTGTGTGTGTATGGGAGGGGATGTGTGTCAAAATTCAAACGTTCAATTGATCGATTGATTGTTCAATTGAACAGGGCATACAGTCGTACACACGCTTTGCAACCAACCTGGCTCACCCCCTCTTCAGGCTTGAATCCACCTTTTTACCATTTACCATTTGCTGGAAGCGATGTGCGCCTTTCCCACAGCATTTCGGAACACAGAGTTGCACGGCATTGGCATAAATTAGTACAATCAAAAAACCAGACCGTGACAGCGATGTCAATCGGCATAGAGTTAATGCAGCTTTATTGTGCATTGGGTAGTGCAACTTATTGATTACTTTCCGGTTTTGCAGTCGGATGTCTACTTCACAAGCCGCCAGCGCGCATCTAATTGAAGTGCTAAATTATGCGCGGTCTACCTTGCC